CAATTGGGCCAAAATTAGGGCCCAATTGGGAAAAACTTTTGGCTCTGATCGGGCGACCTCAAAAAATTTCCAGCAAGGATACTTTATCATAATCGGTAACAATTTTTGTGCCCTCAGCTGGCAGGAAAATCTGATGGCATCATATAAGTGCATTTAAAAAAAAAAAAATCATAACTCGAAAACGAAGAATTTTAGCATAGGATACTCGTACTGAAAAAAGTTTATACCATCCCCTAATAGACAAAAAAGTTTGAGAAAAAAAAAAGATGTGGCAATTTAAAAGAAACAATAATAATTATTAATAAACAATTACTAATGTTTAGTTCACTAGATCGATTCAGTAAATCAATATCTCTAACAAAAAAAAACATCGTTAGAATCCTCGCTTTTTTGCTGCAGTTATAAACGATTTCATCAAAAGTTGCTATTAAGAGAGGAAAAGAAAAAATAATTATTCGAAAAATTCGAATTTCTGAGCAAAAGAAAAAATAGATACGTGTCTCCTTAAATTGTTCAAGGAACAATCCCTGTGAGTTTTATCGCAAACTTAAATTCACTTTTCGTTGGCCTGGGTGCTTTGAGATGGAAAGATCCTTTTGTTTGGCAAGTTGGAATACCGTAGCGCAAAAATTTAATGCAAATTGTGCAAAAATGTCATATTTTCGAAATCTAACAAACGAATGGCAGGGCACAGCATTGTATTTGAGGACAAAAAATAGTATTGAAAAGTAGCAAAAAGCGTAACAGCCTTTAGTCAAAGAGCTCATAGATGGATAAATATTGGTGTAAAATTTACATGACTAGAGCTCACTTTACTGCCTGCACAACATCGCCCTATTTTGTTTTTGAGAAAAGGAAAATTATTATTGTTTCTGTAAATATAACACAACTAGGAATTAAGATTAAAATGTATTTTATAAATACCTCAGTTGACAATTTTAAAAACAAATTTAAAGATTTTAAAGAAAAAATGTATATGTTACACAGTTTATTGGTTACAAAGCAGGATTACACAGTTTGTAGATGTGTACCGATTTATACATTTTGACAGTCACAGAGCGATACTGTCTAGAAATTTTTATCGAATGAGTGCAGGCTCAATAAAAAATCTCCAAACAACCCCACTGTGTAACTGTCAAAATGTAAAAATCGTGCGATCCCTGGTTAACGTTTTTTAATATAACTCTTATACCCTGATAAAAGCTTAAATTTGAACTTAGTTTAATTTAAAGTTTTTAATAAAATTTTTTTATTCAAAAATGTACAGTTGACCTTTGCTTTTTACTTTAAACTTTGGTTTTTATATTCTAATTTTTTTAAATTTAATTTTAGTGTAGTTGACTTGGTATTAACTATTTTATGTTGCATTCAAGAAATCAGAAGCTTCTTTTTGTTGGGTTTCCTTTCATATTCTAAACTTTGATTTACTGCAAAGGAATGAGGATACGGCGCACAAAAGTAATCGTTTCCGGTAGTGTCATTTGCATTTATATCTTAATTTTGTAAATTATAAATTTTATGTAATATGAGTAAATAAATTTGTAATTTGTAAATGTAATTTCTTAAAATTAAAATTTCACTGCAAATGAAACTAATATAAATGTTTTTTTCTTTTGCTTAATACGTCTTCCGTACATCATGCCACTCTTCAATCAATATCGATGATGAAAACAACAACACCACTGATTTCGTATAAAAACAATAACGACAATAACATCGACAACATCAGCTGCAATTGTCCCGCTCTAGCAGCGCAGCCGCCATCAGTGAACGCACTTTAGAAGAATGTTGGTCGACCCTGCAACGTGTGAGTTGGCATCTCTTCCGTTGTGTATAGTACTCTTCCACGTTAAAGACACGCACATCCGATAGCACACAAAAGCATACAAACAAACATACGAACATGCATACATATATGTATATGCATATATATGTATATATTATAAAAGTCATACTCCTTTTACAAACACACATACATACATATGTAGTTTATACACATCTCCATATAAACATAAAATAAAACAATAGAAAGCAAAATAATGAAAAGCAAAAGTCAAAGTTTAGTAAAAAATCTTGGTCAAAATCTCCAACAAACATAACGTAATTTTTACATACATATTAATTAAGGCATCTAGGGAGTCCCGAGCCCTTTTGGGGTCCCGAAATTCCCGGATCAAGCCCTCGGGATCCCGGGATATAATTTAATTTACTACCAAATTAAAATAAAGCGACATTCAGACACTGTAATGGCATAAAAGAATTATAAAATGCAACCCTACAAATAATCAAATATTATATTACAATTGTAAGACTACTATTTTTCTATATTATAATATATATACGATATATATGAGGCGTTCTTTTTCATATCAGACACCAAATTTCGTGTCAGAATTTCGATTAGCTTCACATTTTCCTTTCTTCTTCGGATATATGATCTGTCAAATTTTGGATTTTTTCGTGATTATGACTAAATAATCATGCACTTCTTCAAATTGTTATATCTCGGGTTCTGTTCTTCGTAGAGACTTCATTGTTGACTCTCACAAAATAAACCACCTCGTCATAAGAAAAATATTTTAAAAGTAGTTCTTGAAGAACTCCCAGTTTTTTGGAACATGTTCTTCATAGAGAATTAAACAAGGATTACGGTGGTGTAATTTTAAATCCCAAATTTACTGGTATTACTATGCAAATCAACTTAAAGAGATTAACTGTTAATAGCTAAGTTAACTTCAGGACAATCATAACCATCATGTAGAAAGCCCGTTTCTTTATCTTCAAAACGACGCTAAGATGAAGTCTCTACGATGAGTCTCCACTACCCGAGATATACGATAAGAAGAAGCACATGAATGGTCAGAACCACGAAAAAATTCCAACTTTGACAGATCATATCTCCGAAGAAAAAAAGAAAAAAAAAGTTGCTCGAATACGTGTTAGCTTATTTAATGTCATGAGACATGACATCATTGTTTTTTTCGAAATCCGTCGTTACTTTTATATATACATGAGTATATATACATATGTTGTGCTATCCTAATATTACTACACATATATGTACATACATATATTAGACTGTATCACTAAAAAAAGTTGCGGTTTTTCAGCCAGGATTACAAAATTTATTATATTTTAAGACGTCCACCAAAATATTTCGGAAAAATATTAAGATTTAGTGAGCTGGACCGATTTGAAAATACAATTTTATGAATAAAAATAGTTTCTTAAAGAACTTTTCGAAAAAAGTCCCCTCATATGACAAAACAGATTTCGTTTAAAAATTCTGCATAAAAATATTTAAAAATCTTTTCAACGGAATTGTAAGATTGAGATGTTTGATGCTGTTTTTTACTTTTTTCAGAGATTGATTTACGAAAGACTTGAATAACTGGGCCAAAACTATTCTGATTTAGACTTGCGGGGTCTCAGTAGAAAGGTATTTTCACACTGTTTTTATTTCTGTCCAAAAAAAGGTCATTCGTGTCTCAATATTTTTATATTTTTTTTTCAAATACAAACACATCTTAATTCAACTTTGAATGACGTTCGTTCATCCTACCTTTCTCATTCATCTTTAGAATGAGTTTATTAGCAAAAAAAAGTCTAAATCGGAAGAGTTTGGGTTTAGTTATTCAAATTTTCCTTATACAAATCTTTGAAAAAAGTTAAAAAACTGCAACAAAAATCTCATCATTACGATTCCGTTCAACAATTTTTTTTATTTTTTTTTTATATTTTTCTGCAAATTTTTTAAGCTTGAACCGTTTTGTTATTTGAGGGCATTTTTTTTTTTAATCTTTAAGAAACTCCAATTTTCGGAGGTATTTTCAAATCGGTCCAACTCACTTAAATCTTAATATTTTTCCGAAATATGTTGGTGGACGTCTTAAAATATAATAGATTTTATAATTGCAATGAAAA